AAACGTGCAAAGTATCCTACGAGAGCCACCGCACCAGGCCAACCAACCCACACGCAATATCTCTTTTGGGGTCGACGGAACGTAAATGTAAAACATAGTCGTAATCGATCGATAATCGTAGCTTAATTAATTAGCGTGTAACACATAATAGAGTTTATTTTTTGGTCGCAGAATATTGTTATAAATATATTAGCCGAAAGCGAGAGAGAGAGAGAGAGAGAGAGAGAGAGAGAGAGAGAGAGAGNGGACATTTATGTATGTATGTGCGTGTAGGTATGTATATGTGTGTTGTACACGTGTAGTGCGTGTGTATGTGTGCGAAGTGAAAAAAAAAGAGTGAGAGAGAAGAAAGACAGAGGAAGAAAGAAAGAAAGAAGGGGAAAGCGCATGTCTGTGTGTCTGTGTGTACATCCGTGAGAGAGAGACTCAAAGCGGACGTAGAGCGTAAAGGAAGCGACGTAATAACGGGCGTGCGGAAATAACGCGTGATGCTGCGTGCGTACATGTCCCTTGTGTGTACGTGTTTCGTGCATGACGCGGGGAACGAGTGCGCTAGCGGCGCCTTGCGCCTTTAATTCAGCGTGTAAGTGTTGAACTACTAATGTGTGTGTAAACTCTGCGCGACAATGTGGAGCCGTCACGACGACCCCCTCGAATATCGGAGATTGCTCCTCGCGACACAGCACCGTGTTCACGGTGTACCGAGTACGGTAAAATGGGACTAACGCCACGTCGAGTCGCGAAATCGCGACCGTATCGGTGACGTGTATCCTGAACCAGGATTGCGCGAATCGCTGCAACCGTATTCGGAGGAGCGGTACACGTCATCGCTCCTCGTGATGTATTGGGAACTGTGAAATTCGACGGGAACGATTGTCGTCCCCGTGAAAGGTACGCCCTGGTCGCTCAGTCGACAAGCTTTCGGCACATCGTGATTGCGTCCTTGACGAGCGCGCTTAATGAACGCTCGGAACATTTTCTTTTAACGAGAGGTCGTGGTGATAACGATTCCACGTTGACGATCACGCTCGGCAGTGGCCGGCGAACGAGGAGTAATTCCCCGGTACGGGTTCTCGCACGTTCGCCGCCAAATTCGCGGTCTCCATGGCTCATGTATGTGTATCTCCGATTTCTCTTCGTTTTTAGACTAACCGGAGCCACGCGCTCGGCGGCGAACGAGAGAAACGCGAAAATCGGCGTGTATTCGTCGCTCGCCCCGGACCGCTCGTGAGAATCGTCGCGGAGGATATATATTGTGGCATTAATAAAATTAAGATCGCGCATATATAAGCGAGAGGGGCCGTGATGCGTGCGGTTTCGCGTAGGACGGATCTGGCCCGCTGCAACCGCGTCCTCAATTTTCCGTGCAACATTTTCCACGGGGAGATTTCGTCGAGCCGCATACTCTCTCTCTCTCTCTCTCTTTCTTCACGGACGAGAGCGTATCGCGCAAAATTGCTCGCGAATTTCCCTCGACGACTCCATCGGGACGTTTACCGGGCGTTCCGTTTATTTTGTAACGCGAAAATTATGTAAATTATGTAACAGAGTGAAAATTCAAAAGTCGTTTGTCTAATGACAGTTTCTCGCGATTTCTCAATCTAAAGATTCATGTTCCTTTGATCGCGACACGACGCGGGTGCAGCCGGCCGGGAATCATCTCTGCGCTGATATAGCATATGATATATCTAATATCACAAGATTTGTTGCTGTTTCTGTTCCAATTTAAGGCACCGTGGTGAGAAACCTAAGAGCATCGACAGACTAAACCAGGCCGGGAACTGAACCCGGGGAACTGTCGCTATATATAAAGCATATATAAATGTGTGTACATATAAATGTATAGACCTACGACGAAAGACAGAATGTGAGAGAGAGGGAGTGAGAAAGCGAGAGAGAAACAAAGCGCGAATAATAGACGAACGAGAAAGGGGACACTGTTGTCGTGTACATAGGATGGCCTGTTATTACGGATCGCTTTGTTAACGATTTCAGGCAAATAAATCAGCCAAATTCTGGATGCAATTTGAGCAAACACTCAGAGTAGAAATAAAACACGAAAATATCTAGGACATCACCGTCGTTAATAAAAGAATCTTGGAACTTGATTCGTTGAAATTAGATGAAAAATCATCATTGTCCTTGCACTTTATTTCCAATGTTTTGATATTTTCATTTGTGCTTTAATTATCTTACGGTGCAGATTCGTAACAATGGGCCACCCGAGTCACGCGTATACGTACGTAGGCAACGATATTGATATTTATTAATTATCGGCGCGCGCGATATCCTCGTCGAGACGGTTTTCCGTGACAAGGGAGGAAGATTCTGCGGAAAGTCGCTCGCGACGGCGCGTTCCGACCCGTCTCGTTGGAACAATTATCAGTAGGGTCGTACTTTCATGCTCGTTTCTCGATCACACACAGACACATACCTGCATACATACACACACAATTACACATTTACACGCGCACACGCACACACACACACACACACACACACATTCTCCACAGACTACACAGACGCACGAACACTATTATAATTACCCAAAAGTAACTTGTACTATGTAACTATTACTATTTTTATGAATTTTTGTACATTTTTCTAATTATTTTGTATAATAATCGTTAGCGGAAAGAATGACAGAGTTTGGCACCCACCTCCCCAAAAAAGTGTTCAAAACGGAGAAAAGGAGCTACATCGACGACGAAAAAAAAAACGTAGAAAAAAAAGAAAAAAAAATGAAATTTCGGTGCGAGTGTCACGCGTATGTATGTGTGTACGTGTGTATTTGAGAGCGTATACGCGCGATTGTGTGCGCGTGTTTGTGAACATGTGTTGAGAAAAAGAGGGAGAGAAAGAGAGAGATGAGAGAAATGTGAGAGAGGGTGAGAAAGAGAGTGCGAAAGAGAGAAGACGACGAGAAATGCTAAACGGATTAGAGGAAAAAGTACGCGGGAGAGTATACAGCGTGCATGCGCGAAATTTTGTGAAAGTAGCGAAAGAGGAAAGTGTAAGAAAGAAAGAGGATGGAAAAGAGAGAAGGAGAAGAAAGAAAAAAGCTGCGACTGTCGACAATGTAGTCCACCGTTTGTCTGTGTAATCTTGTCTTAATCTGTCTCCTTGTCTGTCTGTCGGTTTGCCTGTCTGTCTGTCCGTGCTGTGTTTTAGCAGGGGAGGAGAATTCACTAAAAAAATCCTAAGGACGTAGCGTTATACTTTTATCTCTGGATACGATGCGACGACGACGACGTCGACGAAGACGACGACGACGACGACGACGATCGTAAAATAATTTTTATGTTTTGTATTAAAAGGAGAAAACGACGAAACTTCTTCTCGACAAACCCGCTAAAGGTATATATATACATAAATATATATCGTAGGAAAGAGAGAAAGAGAGGGAGAGAGAAAGAGAGCGAGAAAGCGAGAGAAGGGAAGGAAAAGAAGGCGATACCGACCGAAAAGAAAGAAAGAGAGGGAGTGAGAGAGGGTGCAGAGGTGGTGTCGAGGAAGTATAGTAAAACGACTAAATGATGTTCAAAACGACGATAAAACAAAAGAAAAAGGAAAGGGGAAAACGCGGTGTAGAGACGGAGAGGACTTTTAACTCCGCGGTTCTCGTGCGCCGCGTAAGGTCGAATGTGTGAAAAAAAAATCTACTTCGTATTTGACGACGTGTTTGTTATAATTATAAGAATCACCTTTTCTTTTTTTCTCGAAATGAAATGCTATAAAATAGATCAATTCTTTCATGGAACGGGAGTCGTTTTACTTTCACCCGATATCCTTTCCTAGGGGCGAGCGGCTTTAACGCATCAGGTATTACGATTACGTGAAACTTTACGATGTGCATATAGTAGATATATATCGGGAAAATGTTAATTGAAATCATGAAAAAATGAGGCGATTTTTTCATATAACAACCATATAGCAACCCCGAAGCAACATACATAACTCGGTACTTGATGCGTTAATAACTTCGCGGAAAATTTCTTATTGACGAAATATCTCGGCAAGAGCGAAATTAACTGCAGATATCGTCAAATATTCAACATATATCTCACTTGCTGTAGTTAGCAACTCGTTAAATTTAGACGCAATTGTTCTCTTTATGCTACTTTTACGGAAAAGTATTACTGGCTGTGATAAGTTGGCCAATAAAAAATTATTGATATTCAATCATTTTATTATGCGTACGAGTAAATATCACTAGTCACTCCATGAGGACATCCACGTGTAATCGACGTGGAATCCACGAATAAGCAAGTCGATTCCACGGATATCCTCATGGGGCAATTTATCACAGACAGTAATATTTTTCTGTAAGGGTAGGACATCTTGCACACTGCATTGGGGTTATCTAATAAGGAGGAACTGTATACTGCATTTCCACTGGAATTACCTGTAAGGAAGAACTGCCTCTTTTGTCTTCTACTTCTATACACGCAAGACTACCCACGAATACGCGAATATCACTATCAAATAAAGCAATCACAAAGAGAAAGGATCTCGTCGGTTGCGCGCGCGATAGAACTGACGCCATAGAATTTCAAAATGGAGATTCAAAACGATACGGTGGCGCCTCTAGCGCCTAGTCGAGCAGTTAAATGACCTGTAATACCTGTAGACCTGTAAGTCCGATCTGCAATCGGTATCTTTAGCCTTTTACTCTACTTGAAAACATTACATGTTATAAAATATCATTGTAATCACATCGTTGTAACATTGTGTTAATCATTTCTTGCACCCATTCGATACACCTGTTGTAGATCTAGACTAATATTTGGTGCAAAGATGTACCTGCAATACCCAAAGAACTGCAGTAATGCGAGGAACTGGCAGCTGGAACCCCTGGAAGGTAAGGACTCTCTCCTATCGAGCATCGGAAAACATTTTACCGAACGTCCTGCATCGAGGCACTGACGGACGACGCGTCGTTGACGCAGGTACGGAACGCCGCCGCGGGAGGATGCCGGCGGTGCTATTCGATAAAAGTGCGAGACGCGCCGGACGGGCGGTGTTCGGCGAAGCGTGACGAGTTGATGCGACACACTCACAGTGGCGAGCGGCCACCGACGACGGATCGTGATGAGTTTGACAGCGGCGACGATCGACGCAACATTCGCCGAGTGACGCGCGCTTCCGATCGACGCGAGGGATCGTCGTGAGTGAAGAGAAGAATAAACTGGGGGACGAAGAAAGAGAGATAATACGGTGTCGAAAGGAGAACGATCGATCGAGTGACGGGATGCGGCCGAGGAGAGTTTCGTAATATAACGCACTTCGCCCAAGTATTCGCGCGCGCTCCTTAGTATGGCAGAATGGTTGGACGTAAATTGCTGCCGTTGCTGATACTCTTCCTGACAGGTGAGTGTACCTGGCCGAAATCATGCGCCGCCAATTAGCGCGATAGCGAGCGAGAGAGAACAGAGAGAGAGAGACAATGTATATATATACACACATACATACATACGTATATATATATATATATATATATTTATGTACATATATATGTATACATAATACGCGTTCGCCGATGAACAATGTACGATCTATATCCCTCAGCGATCATGCGATCTAGGAGTGGCTATAGTACATACCGGGCGATCGTTACGATTCAGGGTCGAGTTATGTAAGGAGCGATTATTATCGTCGTTCTCCTGGTTGCACCTTTTTTTTACCCCGTTGTTATCGTCACCTGCGTCACCGGGAAGTGGCCGCGCAGTCACGAACCGCGTAGAACGAGTTGTATATAGCACATTCGGCCCGAGCGTGTTATCCTCCTATTATTGTTCTCAATCCCGTCTCGTCTTCGTTTCTCTCGCTAATTCGCGCGTTCGAGAACAATAATCGGCCCCTAAGAGGCCCTAATAAATCTATTTATCAATTCACCCGCCTACATCCTCAACGACGCGGCAAGCTAGCGTGCACGAGTTAGTTTCCTCCGTGCGTGCGTCCGTAGTCGCGCAAACGAGAACGCCGACGACCCCTCCCTCCCCTTCCGTAACTAAACTTTATTGTACGTTAACTGTCATTGACGTGACTAACACATGTGCTCGCGCCTTTTGCAGGATGGCAGGAAGCAGTGGCCGTGGTACCGGTACGGTACGTCGCCGTGGATGTGGGTAAGGACTTGAAGCTGGCCTGCGCCGAGGAAAGCGCTCTTCCTTCGCATTCAAACGATCCGGTAGGAGTAATGTGGGTAAGAGAGGGTCGAGAGGACGGGCAAATCGAGCGCCTGATAGTGGAGACAAACGGTGTGCTGGAACTGTTGAACGTTAGTTCGGACGACGCCGGCAATTACTCGTGCACCTTGGACGACGATCACGATGCCCTGAAAGCGAGGATCAACGTGGAAGTCAGGAGTACGTTGCATCTCATTGCGCAGAATAATAATTCGTAATCGCGTACAGCATATAATGGTTGATCTCAGGGCGATGTTCATAGTCAGATGTTATATTTAAGATCCAGTTTATTGTCTCCAGTTCATCCTTATCCACAATCTTACTTCAAGTGGAGCGTAAGCGTTGAAACGTTAAGCGTGAATTGACGTCATATCCGACTTTAAGCTTGCTCTAATCTGTAAACCATGAGACGTAAGGAAATCAGCAATTCCCATTTAAGCAGTAAAGAAATTGGCCAATTGCAGTCAATGATTCCTCGACTGTAAGGAAAATAATCGTCTGTGATTGGTCAGTTTTCTTACCGCCTAGTGAGTATTGTGGACTGCTTGATTTAATATATTGAGGCTTGTAACTTACAGCTTAATGCTTTTAGCTTCAAGTCTAACGATAAGAGTAAGGGCCTTATCTTCAGATGTTGCGCGGATTTTACTGGTTACTGAGCATCTGAAAATAAACTTGGGACGATCTTTAACATAAGATCTGACTATGAATGAAGCGATCTTTGATTTATCGGATGGCATATTATAAATTTTTTAGCTTCGTATTATTTATATTCGCAGCGCCTCCACCAGCCTTGCACAATGTGTGGGTCAAGCCGTCCACGATCTTGGCCAACATCCTCTGGGAGGTGGGTGATACCGGCGGATATCCTATCATAGACTTCACTGCCGAATATCGTCTAAAACCACCCGCGGGTGAGAAACCGGAAGAGTGGAAGCCCATTGTTCCAACGCACATTCCTCCGAATTCCGTGAGTATCGCGGTCAATCGAAACGCGAACGGAAAGTAGGAATGGAGAACGCAACGTGGAACGAACATGACACGAGGCGTTGCACCATTTCTGATCAATAAGGATTGATCCGACCGAAGCTGACGATCGTTTAATCGTTTTAAAGAGGCAAATAGATGTGTATCACTTGGTGCCAAACACGACGTACTTGTTCCGAGTGTGGGCAACCAATCAGTTGGGGAGAGGCGAGATCGTGGAGGTGGAGGGTCACACGCATCACAGCGTGGAGGAATTGGGTATTTTGCGTTACGATTGCTATTAAATTATAAGCGCATCACGGCTGTTGTAAATAGAATTCTGTCTCTGGGATCTGTAAAGCGAAAATACTCGAATACTCTATGCGAGATGTCGCGAAGCTATCGTCGAACTATATACACGGTACAATGTATCTTTCTTTGAGAATGGGAATATATATATATATATATACACCGAGCGTATCTCTTGTTGTCGCGACTAACGATCTATCTTACGCGACGTAACTAATTTTCAGAACTCGCCCGACACCTTTTAGCCGGCGTAGAGAATTTCGATACGCGTGTCTGGGTGGCAGCCGTAGGTATTGTCATGGGCACACTTATGATTCTCGGTTTAGGTACTTGTTACCTGCTGTATCGCGAGTGGAAAATACCCTGTAAGCATCCTCTCTGGTAACCTTACGTAAGAGCTTCCGCTTCTACTCTGTCTCTTTACTGCTGCTACTACTACTACTACTTCTTTCCGCTGGTGACCGTATACTATAAATATATATACATCATTTGTATATATATATATATAACATATTCATGTGGCATTGACTAACAAGCACGATATCCACAGAGAATCTCGTTTTCCGTTTTTTATATAGAAACCTCCTCGTGACGCAAATTAGCTAAAAAACGTACACACTTCACTAGCCGCATCATAATTATAAATTTACGCAGAAGGAACGTTATTAGCATCTTACAATTAGCATCCGGCTGAACTTATCTATAGCCGTGATCTCTAGCTTCTCTCTTGCGACAGCCATGTGTTCTTTCGAATTTTAATAATATTCTCTCTCTCTCTCTCTCTCTCTCTCTCTCTCTCTCTCTCTCTCTCTCTTTCTGATGAAATAAATTTCTGATTATTTCTCTTTATCACACACACACACACATACACATTGATATCTTGTTTGTGCTCTCTTTCTGCACCTTTCGCAGATTTTTCCAACTCAACATTTAACGACAAGTCTCAACGTAACATTCAACAGAGACGTGTGTCTGTCTGTCTTCATTTTTAGTTAATTTTTCTTATCGATATGACACTTATCAAATCTTATCGCACCGTACACTAACAACGTGCACTCAGTTGACAATCCATTAACATTATTATCTCAATCTTGTACCAACTATGGCACTCATTGGAATGAAATATATATTCGGATTTGCAGATAGAGTTTTTCTCCGTCGCAAACTTGTTTGTCTCGTCACTACCTCTCTCTATCTATCTCTGAATACTAATTATACTCTATCTTGTTATTCCGATTAGATGTCACTCACATTGTATGAATTAATGAGCCTGCCGAATAATCTTAGTTAGCATCGAATAGTAAGTATCACGATAGTCATAGAGCATTATGGCCTAGATAAAGTGATACGGTGAGACCTCTCTGGCGATATCGAGGTAGGTCAAGGGTAGCGCATTTATTTGTCAGGCAAGCGAAAATCCCGATTGGCATTTTAAGCATCAGATTCGGTATAATGTCACACCAATCAAAATGTTATAAACGCAAAAATAATACGAAAAAAGTGATCAAACTAACGAGACTCTGGGATGAAGAGATGCACCTGACAAAGAGAACCGGTGAAGGGAGAGGGTAGAAGCCAATAAGGTCCGTGGCCCAGACCAATGAAGATTAATCTCCGTTCCGTGATTGCAGCGCAGCTGGAGGAGCAGGAGGTAATTGAGCTCGTGCCGAACATCATTTTGAACCCGGGATTTTTCGACGAGCGCACCGAGCACATACCGCAGGACGAGAACTTCAACAATCAGACAACCACGCGCCTCAACAACAATAGCGTCGTGCAACCTAGACGGCTCTAGCGTATTTCTCGTTTATCTTAGAAGCGCCTTCGAAGCAACAACGGACACGAACACGTCTCTCTCTCTCTCTCTCTCTCGACGTCGTCTTGAAACGAGTAAGTAATTCACCGCTAAAGGCCTCGACTTCGAAGAGAGAAAAGGAAACAAAAGTCGACGATAGAATAGGAAAGCAAGACTACCTAGCGATTACGGTGAAAGAATACATGTCTCGAGACGTTATCTTCAGGAACCGTCAGTCGCTTCGCAGTGTCCCGCCAGTCTCGAGTTTTCCGTTTGTTATCGGGGATCGAACTAGGAGGGAACCGGCTTTTATTCTAAAAAAGAAAGGTTCTCCAGGAACCTTCGTTTTTTTAAAGCGACTTTGTGACGAATCTTCCGGAACACGCTCGCGGAAAGCCGTCGTGGTTCTTGGAAGATTTCTAGATTAAGCTCTCGAGAGCAGCGAACTTGAGTAGATTAACTTTTTATACACAGTGATGTGCGGAAATTGTAATCGCGCGCGCAACACAGTCGGTGATAATATTTCTCGCGGCTTAGGAATATTGACATTCCGATTTTAATCGTGACTCTTAGAATCGCAAGAGATTATCCGATCTCATGATACAAAGAATCCTTCGAGTAAAATTTTCGGTAAAATTTCACTGTTGAACTAATTAGTTTCTATATTTTACATATTATTTTTTTTCGCGCAATGAGATCGCTAGAGGAACATCTATTTCCGAGAATCGGAAAACATCTCTTCCATGTGTGAAGTAGTTGTTAATCTTGTAGAAACTAGCTTCACCGACAAAAGAGACTGTCGAAACGGAAGGAATTGAAGAAAAAAAAAACGGTTCCGTGTTCTCGTCCGACCCCTGATTAACGAAACGCGACACAAAGTGTTCAAAACCCAAAAGAGCGTAAGACTCCACCAGACTTCGTGAGGAGGTTAATAGAATTTTTTGGAGATGTTTACTGCAGGACGTTCTCACTCCCGTTAGTCTCCCGACGACACTCACACTCGACCGCTCAGACTGATCGAGCTTAAAGGCGAAGGAAAGGACTCCTGTCAAGCCAAAAGAATCGTAGTAAGACTGTAAAACTCTAAGAGATAATTTCGCGAAATCGCGATAATCGAACGGTATCGTGTCAGGAGGAAAATGTATTTTGCACTCGTTTACTTTTTCCGAGAAGTAACGCGGCGAATAGCGAGTATTGTTCTTTTTCTAAATAAGATCATTTGTTGTTCAATCGATCGTACGATGTACGATTTGATGAACTTACTGCCGTTTTAAGGTGTGCACAAGTCGTTGAAAGTTCCTTTCTAAGAATGTCTGCGGAAAATCGCTCTCTCGTTTTTGTTGTTTTATTATCGATACATATGTATAGAATCTCTCTCTCGCTTTCCCCTCTCTCTCTCTCTCTCTCTCTCTCTCTCTCTCTCTCTCTCTGTAAATATGCTACTGCTCATTATGTGCTCGTGCTGCTCGTGAGAAAAATCCCGCGATTTCGAAGAATTCAGATGAAAATGTCATTTTAAGGCTGTCACACACAAAATGCATGTGCATAGTATAGCTGGCATGTTCTGCAAATCAATATAGCTGCTTTGAGCTGGATGCTCATGCATTTGGTGTGCGACCCTTAATCGTAATAATAATAATAATAATAACGCAGGTGTACATACATCTTTTCGTGGTAATTCAGATTTTATCGATAATATTTTTCACAATAATTCGCATGCGATCGTTCGAGGGATGCGTATGTCGCTTCAACATACTTCTGCACCATCTTAACACAGAATCACTGAACTTTGTCTATTAACTGACTACTAATTGACTCACGTTGATTCGCAAAAATCAAATTTTCCTAAACAGCAACTAAAACATAAAAGGAGAGAAACAGGCGGGCGGATAAACATAAGTTTCAATAGGTACAATAAACCGTACGAAGGAATACGCGGTGTTCCATCTCCTAGTCACTATTCTCCGACGACAGATCCTCCGCTAACGGTCTCGTTGAGGAGCGAGTCTAATGTGTAGTGTCCGAAGCAGAATCTAACACCTTAATTATGAGAGAAAATGATACCAAGACCAGATATCTCAAATATCACGGAAATAACAATTCACCGGATTTATGTCGATTTCAGTACTTTGTCCAAGGGATCTGCGGTTGGAAAATAGCGCGTTGATAAGTGGGACACTTCAAGGACCGTCTATAATAGCCGTAAAGTACGCAGTAAGACATAAGCTAATTGGCCAATTGGATTTTTTTACAGTCCAAGAATAATCGATTGTAGCTGGTCAGTTAGCTCACAGCTTACGTCTTGCTGCATATTTTACGACTATTGCAGACGATCTTTCGTACAGACAAGTAAGCAACCAACAATGCGTGAGAAGTGTCAGCCGCTTCTCTCGCACCGCGCGCAATAATAAGATTTTTCAATAATCGTAGCATTTAATTCTCTAATTAATACTAATTAATAGGGTGCGAGAATAGAACGCATCGCATATTTTGAATAACGCTATCGTATTTAGACGCGAATGTGAACTCAGTCGTGGCCGATTAACCGGAAAACGTTCTACGTCGGTACGGTGCTTTGTATGTGTGTGTGTGTATGTGTGCGCGCGCGCGCAAGATTCTAATGTCACCGTCATTTGACATTTGTCTAACGATTCCATTAATTTCAAAGGAATTCGGTATATAGCAGTGACCTATGATCTGTTTTGATGATATCATTTCTACGTGTTCAGTATATTGTTCAGTATATTGTTTCGTTGCTTTAATTAACCGCGCTGGTCATTTTATTTAAGAAAAAAAGAAAAAGAGCGGAGGTTTTTCCTCGAAAACGTCTGTTAAATTTTGAAATAATTGTAGTTCTTATTTGTTATTCGAATTATATTGTTGTTATTATTTTTTTATCGAGATTCCAAAGAATTATTTTATTGATGTTAAGTAACTTATATTCATGTGTAAAAGACAAGAGAAATATGTGTTAGGTTTATTATAATAGTGATTATATAATTTCTTTTGGCGACGTGAGTGTGGATTAATATGTATTTATGCAGTTTATTGACGGAAACTTTCCTTTTTTTCTTTTTGAGAATGTCCCTCTCTCTCACTTCTTTATATCGTGAAATGTAATATTTCGAGTCAACTACAAAGCGAAAAAGTACTTTGATGCACGCAGGTTGTATAAAAATTGGTTGTGCGTTGTTACATTGGAGCTTTGGATCTGCTTTTCCTTTCGACGCATTCTTGAACGCGTATGTGCGCATACATGTGTAAAAGAATTGTGATAAGGATAAGCGGATCGGCATTTAGCTTCGTACTATGCACTCTGTGTTGTGAATGGTATATAGATAGATAGATAGATATATACATACATACATACATATATATATATATATATATAATGATATGAAAATACGTATATATATAAATATATATACATACATATATTTATATAATCAAGGCATCATGCTAATTTAGATATAAGCAAAAGACAATTTTTTATATACATTACATAATTATGCTGAAACCTGATGATAATATTTATCTAAATATATATATATATATATATATATATATATATATATTATCGAGAGAGATAGACGAAAAACTTTAAAAAGCCGCGAGAGTTACCAAGTTTCGCTTTGCCGATCGACAAATGTTGCTCACGGAAAGTCACTTGCATAGTGCGTCTCCTATTTCTTCTTCATTTGTCAGAAGAGTCGTATTACCTTCGCCAAATATTAGAGGTACCAGTCGTTTAATGTAAAAACAATACGTAGCGTTGGACCAAAAATTAGTGTAATATATTTTTTTTAGCGTTTATAATGTGTAGTCGCATAACGTAGACTTGAGTTGTAACAAATGTATATCAAGAACAAGTAATATATAGAGTTTAATTGCGATTATATATATAATTTACTCTTTCTACATAATTTTTGTTGTTTCATGTTGATTCTGTTGTTTTATGTTTTATGTGGATATGTAAATCCGACGTAAATTCTTTAAATAATACGGCTCTTCGGATCGTCGGATATCAAAGAATTAGATAGAAAACCTGTTATTTTTCTTACCGCATAGCGATAAATACCGTATATACACCTGATGCCTACAGCTATATCTTTATCAAAATTGCCCAGCGATATAACTGAACTACTAAGAAAATAGAAAGCTGTTCTGAACAGACTCGCACAATAGTAAATAATCCAACAAATTATTCTTGTAATAATTACTAAACTAAATCGGCACGAGGGGGAGGGGTTTAACAATAACATTTGTAACAAAACTCTAGAGAACGCGTCATGGAATTTCTGCCATTGTACTGTGCGGGAGGAAATAGCATATCTGCGCACGTTCATGCAAACAAAACGTTCATGACGGTGACGAGATATTATTTTTAGCAGCGTAGAAAGCGCGTCCGCTGAAGGCTCTCTCTCATCGCCGTAATAACAATGTCGATTTCCGACGAATGAAGAATTGACACACTGACCGCGCACGCACGCGCTTTATATATGCCAGCGTATATACATATATCCGTATAGCAAATATATTTTCTATTCCTTTCTACGATTAGGGTTGTATAAGAGAACGCGCGATTAACGAGACGAAGAATCCCGCGGTTAAATAATTAAATTTAGGTAGGCGCGAGAGCAGAGGAATGAATTGTAAAAGAATGAGGTCACGGTGTGGCGAGAGATATTCGAAAATGACGAAATGTCCAAGGCGAGACAAGTGCACGATTACATACTGTGCAGAAAAGTAAATCGTGTACCTACAGTAATAATGGCAGATATTTTGCATTCATATCATGAAACGGTAATAATCCACAGGCTGTTGTAACGGACCCATTAGGCGCAACTTGCAATACGTATATTATATAATTGTAATAACTTTTAAGACGAGGCATTTGGAAAAATAGCCCGGTAGGTACTGCCTCTCGGGTCGCTTAATCGCGAAATTGCTAGCATATCGTATCGAAGTGTGATAAAAAATCGTACATATGATATATATCAGCATTGTTTAGAATTCTAAATCATTCCAAGACATCTCCGAGAACAGATCTTCTAAGATACGTTTTTGTTTCTCTGACACATTATTTTTAGAATTTTTCTCCAGGTCGACTTCCCGTTCCAAGTTCAAAATTTTCAGATACCATTTGGAACTCGGCACGATGACTTGAAAATATTTTAAAGAAGATATTATGTAGGTTTCCAAACGTAGTTTTTTTTTTCCTTTTCGACCCCTTTGTTCGCGTTCTAGTATCTCCCGGATGCCTCGTCTTAAATTTCTCTCTCTCTCTCTCCCCGCAATAAATCCTTTCATCGCATTATCGCAGCATTCGTCCTCGTCTACAAATAATAATCAGTCCCGTCGCCTTTCTCTCCTCGCCTTCTCGTGATTCTTTCCTCGTTGTTTCTGTCGCACCGCTTGGCACTGTATCAGCAGCTCGTATCATCTCGGCACATAGAATCACCGCCCCCGCCTTCTTCACCACTATAGTGAGACGTATCTCGCATTAATTATCCCCCCGATATACCTCGATTAGCGCACCGAGAAAAGGACGAGAAAAACGCGTGTTTATTATTAAGCGAAGCACAATGCCATAGTATAGTGTTTATGGTCGCTAGTGCCACCATGTATCGTCCCCTAACATACATATTGCCCGCCTAATTATACATTCCGAGCGACGAGTATCCGGTGTGGTTTTTACAGAAGAAAAAAAAAAGAAAAAGCGCTCTCTCTTTCTCTGTGTGTGGCTTCTTCCATGATGACGTGAAACCGATAGTAGTTTCATGGTAGATAATAGACGCCCGAATAGTGAATGTTCCCTTCTGTCTGTGTGACTCTTCGTACGCTCTTAGCAAGCTTCTCTCCTTCGTTCTCTTATCTTTTTAATTGTGAAAACTATTAGTCGCGCGCCACCGCAATCGTTGATCTATATTCACGTTAATGACGGTCGTTTGATGATGAACGGCGAGGAAAAGGGAGAAATCCTCCATTTTACAGCAGGCGGCATTGCAAGGCGTATCAAGTTTAACTTGATTGACCGTATCGGCGGTTCGTATCGACGTTAATATGTTACAAACAGTATCTCGGAACCGAATTTTTCATTGCGGACAACTCATTCAGAATGTTGAACAATCGTTGAACACACACACGCATTGTATAACCGTGATTCTCGTTACGATGATTCTAATTAACTTTGTGACTTTCATCGCGCCTTCAGACGACATAGCTTCGAAATTGCATCCGTTTAATATTTCCCGTTGCTGCATTTTATACACGTCCACGGATCTGCGGTGTAAAATCCGGCTCTGAACGATGTGTGTGAAACTCTCTGTTTAGCGCTTAGATTAGATTGTATTATTTTCGAACGGAGTTTTGACGGAGAGGGTAGGGGCCACGAATGACCAAAAGAAAGGTAGTTTAGTTTTTAAATCGATCTGGTGAAGTAGAAGATGTATTTCTTTGTTATTATCGATACCGTTGTTTTTCATTCGTTGTCGTATATATCCTTTTATTCTCTATTGCTGTATCCGCTTTATTGCGTTATTCTCGTACAAACGGTGCTCGTGCATCGCATTATTTAAGTGATCTGTGTTATATCGTTTTTAACAATGGTTCGATCAGTTTTTTCAATGGTGATATATGTGCATTTAATGATAAGTCGTTACCGTCGTTCACGTATTCTCGTCCCGTGACGACAGAAATTAGAAAATCATTGGGTGTTCGATGTTTCTTAGCAGTTTTGTGAAAAAAGGAAAAACACTATACCTATTTATTACAAAAAAAAAATATATATATATATATATATATATATATAGATATCAATTCTATCGTTTCGTTATCATTTTTTTCTCGTTTATTACTTCATGGTGAGAAAGAGATCTTTATAGGGAAGAGTTAGAAATGTTCAAACGTAGAAATTTGTTCTCCTTGCTCTCACCAATGATTTTCTCGCGTGTACGCTTATATTAAAAAGCGATGGCAATGAATACACATTCCACCAAGTACAAAGATTTTACCTTCTACATAATTTCGATTGAGACGCGGGACCGCGTGACGGCGATGCATTCTCGATTATAGACGTTGCTTTTTCGTGTAGAGCCCTTCGTGAAGAAAGTAACGGTTGTGTGTGCTTGTTGAGTGCAATTACCACGTCGTTATTATCTAGACTATACGTATATATAGTCGTCACTAGGCACATATCAGCGAGATGTAACGAGAACTATCGTAATCAGCGCTGCACCTTCGTATCTATTATATATTATATCGGATGCTGTTTTGCGGTCACTAGTGTAATACGATGTGCAATATTATCTAAACACGCCAGGTTTCTTTTTTATGATCTGAAAATGAAATTAAACGTTCTCGATTTCTTACGGAGAAGCGGCCTTTTTTTCTTTTTTACTCTTTACTACGTCCGATTAGACGCGACCGGCGATCGCGAAATCTTGATTTCGGAAAAGTCTTTCTTTTAGAATAAGGCAACACACGTCTCTACGTAGAAGGACACTGTTTGTAGATTGAGAGAACGATATTTTAATAATGCTAAATAATTTTGTGCACGAGGAAATGTTCGAAATTGCTTGAGATTATTAAATGTTTGAACATTCTGTCCTCTCAATGTGCGAAGAGTGTTATATTGTATTTCGCGTCTTACATTAATTATGAATTCGTCGCGTTTCCGCCGATGATACATTCATAATGATACATTATATTACAGTGAGATGTTGTATCTATAGTTTTAATCCACTATCGGGATGGTTGTCACAGTGGTTGTCTCTCTATATAATATTAATAATAATAATCTATACATATATATATATATATAGAGAGAGAGATCAATCTACGCAGCTTAATCTATATATATATATATATATATATATATATGTATAGATTAAGAAAACTTCCAGATTTATTTACAAGATTCGTTACAAATATTGATACAATAAATGTAATCATCATTCATAAGAGAGAATTAATTATTTTATCCGTCCGACAGGATTGATTAAAAATAAATGTAAAAGTATGGACAAAGGAGACTTCTTTCTATAGTTGGAGGCCACTACAAAATAAGTAAGTACTTCAATTAATAACGATATCTTTACAATTATTCAAATGTCAGGCAATGTTTTAGACATTTCTTAATTTAAAGTAATATATAAGTTAACGTAGTTATACGTAACATAAATAATTGTAACTATCGACTTATAATTTCACTTAGCTATTATTAATTATTAATACTAATAATTCTATCTTTTACAGGTTTACATAAACATAAGGTTTTTGCATCAATCTGGTCATCTCTCTCTCTCTCTCTCTCTCTCTCTCTCTCTCTCTCTCTTTGTACTTCAAGACCAATCATTGTTTTCAGACAAAGACTAGAACGTGTCAATGCAAGTCACGCTACAAAAAGTAAGGCTTTCTCAATCTTGGCGCAAAGTTTGTTCATTTCCGTAGGTATCGTGTACTCGGCCGCCAGAATGGCGTTCGCCACCGCAATGGTTTCCTGTACCGACCTTGCCTTGATCCAAATCTTGCCGTTCATTCCAACAGCCAGTTCGTATTTTTGATTCTTACCGAGCAATTTGAACAACGGACACTCTGGATTCAATAATTTCCTCACAAGGCTCAGGGAGCATGTAAACACCATACCGTCCGTGCCGAGTACACCCAAGTCATTCTCCTTACCCTGCGAGTCCACACACACCAATTCCGGCTCCATATCCTTGCTGGCAATGAGCAACTTGGCGAATACCACATCACCTGCTTGTATGTCAGGACGATTCTTCTTGGTGGCACCTTCAAAGGCCAAGTAAGACAATGAAGCCTGTTCACTGGCACCGATATCCACTTTGTATATGTCACCAGCCTTCTGGGTCACTATACCCACTACACTTTCACCTCGACTAGGAATGTACCTGTGCACAAAGTAGAAAAATATTTTCAAAGTGAATTAAATGTTAGATCATATAATGTAATGAGTGTCAGGTCAATTGTTTGATATCAGACGCATCCAGGAAATTGAACAATGTTTCTTACTAGAAAAAGAAGCTGCTTCTTATTGCAAGAAACATTGTTCAATTTCCTGGATGCGTCTGATATCAAATATATATATATATATATAGTGTTACACACACACACACACACATATATATACATGCTCCAGAAATAAATGTATATATACAGAAATCATACTATATCCGTAACACATTTGAAGAATTTCATATAACACACACACATTTAATCATTTCAACTTTTAAAATGCATTTATAGCATTTTGATGCGCGCATGTGCTTAATGTCAAACATTCGTACGGTATATGTTTCGTACCGTTTCTGGTAGCTGTCAACATAGTACACAGCCGGCTCGCGTTTCTTCAGGATACCCACTTTGCAAACGAATATTGCATCGTCGTCGCGACGTAGCCCGGGGCCTAGTATCACTATCTCCTTTTCATTGTTCAATGTTATATCCTTTACCCTATCCCCCGGCAGCACCACGTCGCCCTTGTTAACCTCCATCACGAAGAAATTTTACCTTCTCAAAACAAGCTGTCGAGAGAACTTGGAACAGTCCACGATTACCGGTGACTTATTCGAAAAAAACCACGTGTACGTGACCGCGAACGATTTGCCTTGTCGTAGATATGCCCATGTTAAAGGTCTGTTCTTTATAAGTTGCACTAAAACCCGCGACATACAGTGCGTTTTACTTGCTGGAAATGCACCAATCAGAATGCAGTATTTGTAGATTGCGTTCACAAACGCCACTCGGAGGATAGAGTAGCATTTAATTAACCAAGAGATCTTAGTTCTTTTTGCCTTGATTGGTCAATCAAATGCTGCTTTACCTATCGAGTAGGGTTTCCGAACGCAGTCGAGGTTACGTTCGGAAATACCACACTGAGGATAGAGCGGCATTTAATCGTTCCAATTGGAACAAAGAGAACAAAGATTTCTTCTTTATCATGACTGGTTAATTAAATGCCACTCTACTCTCAGTGCAATGTTTCCAAACGTAACCGTAGCACGCAACAATTCAGTAGTCCGATTCTGTTACTTTTAACGAAAGTTTCTTTATTGTTACGACATCGTTGCACAGTTATATAATATAAGGCAAAAAAACTGTGCAACGACAACCTAGGCTATTGACATTGTCGTTAAAAAGTCACAGAATAGGGCTGCAACATTACTCAATCGTCGTAAACGCTTGAGCTCCAGTTCGTAGATAGTTAGGGCTGAAAATCTATAGTATACGTAACATAAATTATATATCTATATATAAATATATATATGTATATATATTACTTAGCCCGCGAGAATAGAGCCGAGCAGTCCGACCGTACTTTGAGCGCATGCTCGCGCTTCTTTGTTGTATTACATATTTTTACTAAAATCGTTTCACTGTGGCAAAACACGTTTATCTTATTTCTCTATTACAATTTGAAAATGGTGTTGGAGCATTTTTGATCGCCTAAAATCACATTACTGAGAGAAATAGAGAGGGAGAAAGAGAGAGAGTAATATAAACTATAAAATTTTCAGCATTGTCAGTGAATATCAGAGCCAGAATAGGACTATTGGAGTTTGTAGGTTAATATCTACGATGATTGATGTGTGAAATCTTTAAATCGAGATGGATAATTAGACATGAAACTATTTAAATCGAAATTAAATGGATTTTAGGATTTATAATCGAAATTGTTCAATACAAAAAAGTTAGTTTAGTGTTTGGTTCTCCCCCTTTATTTCGTTATTTTCAATGTAAATATATATATTGTTGCATAAATAAATAAATAAATAAATAAATATATATATGTGTATATATATATATATATATATATATACATACATACACACACATATGTATATTTATTTATGTATGCAACAATAGATTTGGCAATACTTTATCTGTATCTAAAGCGTATAACATTTATGACAAAATTAGCATTAAGCTGTATAACGAAAAATAAAAGTGAATAACAGTTCTACAAGTGATTATCAGCCTAAAATGACGAGGAAAAGAAAAAGACAGGATTTTAACAGTGAACAATGTAACTCAAATTTAATTATGTTAGAGGATGATTCATTAAACAATGTCAGGAAAAGGTAAATGGATGTCTATAAAACTTACATTTAGACATTATATTAAAAATTAATATATATTTTAAATCAGTTTGAAGGGACCCATGAGTCTCATAGACTCTTCTGTGAGCAAAAATAAAAACAAATATATCACACCTAAATCCTTGCGGAAAAAGAGAATGCGAGAATCTAAAAGATCTCAAAACAGTAAAAAATCGCTACAAAATAGTGTAATTATTATAAACGACAGTGGAATTGACAATGAAATTGATTCAAATGACAATGATAATGCAGACCATTCAGTTATGATTGTTGAATGCAGCTCAAACACAAGTAAAACACCTGTACAACAATCATGTATACAACAAAGGAAAGGATTGGTGTGCTCTTTAAAGCAAAGGAGGAGGTCGAGCAGGATATTAAATATGTCAAGGCAGACAGACAAGGCAGATAATTCAGTTATCAGTGTGAAATGTAACCCAAAAGCAAGAACGCCTTTAAAGCTACCATATTTCCTTAGAAACAGCGAAGAAAAACGAAGACGGCTAGAAAGACAGCAAACAAAACAATTGAAGAATATTTCAATACGAAGGACAAGATCCAGTGTGATATTACTAGATAGCGACTCATCTTCTTCAGACATAGAAAACTCCTCTTTGAAAGAAAAAGATACGAATGGGGAGAATATAGGTGGGTGTTGACTTTTCTTTTTGCTAAAATGTTGGTAAACGAGCTTATTTGACTGAACACCATTTTTCCATTCCTCGTAATGTAATATGAGTTTCTTTTTCTATAGCACCATCGCAAACAAAGGATGATATTGTGGAATTATGGTCATGTCTGGATAAATCTTCCAACAAATTAAACAAGGAAATGCCTAAAGAATGTCAGGTTGATCAGACAAACAAGGAAACGCCTAAAGAATGTCAGGTTGATCAGACAAACAAGGAAACGCCTAAAGAATGTCAGGTTGATCAGACAAAAGAGAACAATATTTATATAATTGATAAAACACCAAACTGGGAGAATCTTGAATATTTAAGAATCACAAATCCCAAATGTGAAGAACAAGAGAAAGAGCAACAGTGCTTTCAGACTAAATATAATAAATATCAGAAAAATGAAAAGGAGGAAGAATCACATAAAAAGGGGGAACTGAGAGAGATAATTGTCGATGGCTGTAATGTAGCAATGGCGTATGATTCTGTTTTTATACTTTTATGCTCCCGTATGCATGCATATTTAATTTGCAATCATTTATATCGTTTTATCAATGAAGATTGTTTTAAATGGATCATCCATATCAGCCATATAATTATAACTTACACAACTTACACAATTATACAGTATTTATCCTAAATATTATATTCTACGCAAGAAATTTATAGAAATTATAAAATTTCACACACTCTCCGTGTATATCTTGTCCTTCCTTCGTATAAATTTACTTCACGTTTCAGTCATACGAATGGCAAATTCTTTTCGGAAAAAGGCATAAAATTGATGATAGATTACTTTCGATCGAGAGGCCACGTTGTAAAAGTCTTTCTACCCCAGCACGTTCGACGAAAAAATTTGCAGCTTCTCGAGAAAATGTATAAAGAGGGCATAGTCATCTTTACACCGAGTCGCAATATCGGTGGCAGATGGATTACGTCCTATGACGATCGGTGATTTTTAAAGCTTATAATAATGATCTTAAATAATAAAAATAGAAAATATACATTTATATATTATAAAAATAATTTAATTCTACATAATTGGGACATATCTCAGAACGATTATAAGTCGAGAAGTTAGCTACTTTCTTTCTCGTTACAGGTACATCCTGGAGTACGCAACTAAATGTGGAGGAATAGTTATTTCCGCGGATCAGTATAGAGACCTATATAGAATCGAGCCTAAGTGGCGCGATACGATCATTAATCGCTTGCTAACGCCTACATATGTCGGCGATTGCATTATGTTCCCGAATGATCCTCTAGGTAGATTTGGGCCTGATCTTGATACATTTTTAAGATTTTAATATAATTATAGCGATTTTTGTTGCAGCGCATACTCGAATAATTCCTTCATTTCCGTTTATTTTCTCTTTGCTACACACACCTTTCATATATATCTCAATTCAAAGAGTTGAGCAAAAGAAAAATGGTAAAACTTTTCTTTTTTTTTTTCTAAGATTTTTGCAACTGCATTTATCGAAATTTGTACAATTGAAAAGTACATTGAAACTGTGGAAACTGTGTGTTTCAATATTTAATTGCAAAGGATCACAGATGTGTAAATATTTCAAATTCTAGGTATTCTTTGTGTTCGATTGTAAGTCTCATTCCTTGATCATTAAAATATCCAATAATAATAAGTGTTTTGCTATAAATTCTCGAGAAATTGATTGAAAGGCCGAATTCTACACGTCTTAAACGTAACATATAGTAAATAAAATTGTGTATGTACAAACAGTGTGAGATTGGTAAGTAATATATGTCTGTAATAAAAAAGATATTTATACACAAGGAGTAAAATATTGCATACTACCACGTATGAAGAAAGTTATTTATTACCAAAATAAGCAAGTTACATTTTACAATACATGCGCCTACAATACGAATGTACACATTATTTAAAAAAGTAAAAAAAAAAAGTATACACAAACTTCTCTCTTATACCACGTACTCGTGGCTTTTCTTTCCTTGTGTTTCACAGCCTTCTTTGCGACGTAAATGTCGCGAAACGTGTACTTTTTTTTTATAAATAAATAAAGTACAGAAGAGAAAGAAAATAAATAGAGAGACGTATTGTCCCCCCCAAAAAAGCTCTTGTCAATAAATATATAATTTTGTATCCTACGCCGGTCTCCAACACATTCTCCCGGATTGACGCACGAAGTCCATGCTCTCTTGTGCAGATTCGCGCGCGAAACGTTGCATCGTGTTCTCGTTGTCGCCGTAACACGCGTTCGACAGTACTGCTTCGTGCCCGAATGCCGAGCTGACGGCTGAAACACGAGTGCGAGATGTACGGTTAAAAACGCAATTTAGCTAGCTTGATGAGAACTCATAAATATCAATCGTGGTGACTTGGCAAAATGAACATCTCTTACTTTACACTATCAATGTAACTGACAAACACTGACATACGCAATATTGTTTTGAATAAAATGACGCTTCTTTGGACACTACTTTTTAATACCACATTAATATAGTAATTACTCGATTTGGCGAATAACTTCCTGAGTACGTAGTCATCGTCCGTGCTCGAGACAGACTGTTCTCTATCGTCGGAACGACCCAGGCGACGACCGATCAAACAGGAGACTCGTTCACCCTCGAACATCGCGGAGACATTCTTTCTTTCTTTCTTCTTGTTTCTCTTGCGTTTGCGCGACGACTCGATCTTGTCGCCGCTCAAAACCGACTTGCTCTCTTCCTTCTCTGCGGGATTGTCGTTCGCGGTTTTCATCGGGATTAAGTCTAGCTGCTCGTCCTTGGATATATCGTTGGCCTCTGCATCGCCGCCGCTTCTTCTCTCTCCGTCTAAGCCGGCGATCAAATTCACGTCTTCGCCCGGTGAATCTTGCGTGCTAACTCGCTGAGAGCGCAACGTTTGATTCTCAGACGACTCGTCCTCCGCGACGGGAGCCTCGTTGCATCTCAGATTATTATTCTTCTCATCGTGTTTGCGCCCACCATCGCTTGCTTCCTCACCTTCGTCGCGCGTCGGCTTGGATACACTATTCGTCGCACTTATCTTCTTACTAAGGGCCGAAGCCAGTTTCCTCATCTCCTCGATCTTCTTGAGAGAAAAGCCACTAGTCGCGGGTGTCAGTTTGGATTCTCGGAACAAGTAATCGGACTCGGAAGCCTCGCCATTTATCGGTTCGTTCAGATTAAACAGCTCCACTAGATCCGACGTCCTGAACAGTCTGCGCTGACGAGGCTCGTCGAGAACCTTATTCGACAACAGTAGTTTGAAAATCTGCCTGTGGTACATCTAAAAAAAAATTTTTTTTTAAAGTAAATCGAGTTGTACAAATTTCGTACGATATTATCAAATTAATATCATTTTCTTACATTAATATACTTACTATTCGTTATCACTTTAATCTTATCACTTGTCTTTACTTATTGTTCATTATTATCACTACATTGTTATTTTTACTCAATTACTACCTTCTCTTCGATAGTGCCGGCGGTGATCAATCTATATATGGTGACTTGCTTATTCTGGCCTATCCTCCAAGCACGCGCCCTCGCTTGAGCGTCCGTCGCTGGATTCCAGTCAGGGTCGTAAATGATCACACGATTGGCACCGGTCAGATTTAATCCCAGACCTCCTACGCGCGTCGTCAGCAGAAAGACAAAATACGAAGGGTTCTATACACAGAGAAATACACGTTCGGAATACATCTTCAACTTCCGTTCAAGAAGTAACACTTGAGGCTGACGCATACATTGTTAAACGTTTGTATCACTTGCTGTCGTTGAGACATCACTGTCGCACCGTCTAGTTTCAGGTAGGTGAAACCTTCGCGTTGCAGCAAAGATTCCAAAATATGCATCATCTGGAAAAAACAATGAAATTTGTATTTCTGCTAATAGAGTTTTACATACAACGGTTTTAGAAGGAGAATAGTAGAATGTAAAATTAATACGAGACGTTGCGTTACGTTGAAAAATAGAAAGTTAATATTATTGTAAGTCGCACACCTGCTTTCCCTGAGTGAAAAGTAACACTCTGTGCCCTTGCTTCTGCCAAATTTTTAAAAGAGACCGAACAACCGTCATCTTCCCAGCTCGTTTCCAATAGCCAAACTTCTCCAATAGTTCCTCGGATAGATCAATGTCTTCCTCCGAATCCTTGAAAATGTATCAACATTTTAACATCGGTAGTTATTCAATTATCGACAATTCAGAATGTTTTCTGAATTAATTAATTCATCATAATGGTGATCTTACAAGCTGTCTCGTATATAAGAACAAGTCTGGATGATTGCATATCTTTCGTAGCGCCGACAACGCGATAAGAAACCTCGCCCTGTATCTCCCGCTCTCGTGATAATTATTTTTCTCATGCAAGATGAAGGATACGTCCTCGGAGCACAGATACTTTTTATACAACTTCTTCTGTTCGTCCGTTAAACTGCAAAATAACACCTAAAAGGATCCACAAATTTACTTGTATTTATAATAAATTGTAATATGAAGTATAGAAAGCTAAAATGATTAAAAATATGCAAATAAAAAATTATATAAGTCAGTACACAGTTCAATGTACTCTTCTGGGATGGATGTACCTGTCTTGCTAGATATACCTGTTCGTTCTTTTCGGGAAGAGTGAGATGATGCTTTACGTCCGTTTTCGTTCTCCTGAGCATGTACGGAGTAATGGTATTCTTCAGCATAGTAGCTACATGCAGGGCAGTAGCTTCCTGTAGCGGCGTCGCATTGACGTAACCGCCACGTGTGATCGGTGCTGCGCAATGCTCCAAGAACACGGGCAGAGTGCCAAGTTTGCCGGGCAGAATGAAGTCGAACAGAGACCATAGTTCCTTCAGTGAGTTTTGCATCGGACTGCCGGTCAACAGTAGCCGATGCGGTGTCTGGAGTCGCTTCACAGCTCGGCTCATCTGTAAGTGAACCGTTTCACATTAATTTAGGAAGTTATTACGTATATACGTGTGCATACGTACACATACATACATATTACGTTATGAACACTATATTTGTCAAATCAATATTTATATATTTTCAAAAGTAATATTGCTATCACTTTTTGTTTATTTTACCTTCGCTTGCGGATTACGAATCGTATGACCTTCGTCGAGGATAACATAATGCCACTGGCTAGATATGATCAAATCCTCATGTTTGAGAACGCCATTGTATGAAGTGATGAGTATTCCGCCGGTTTGCAGAGATTCTATCAGACTTTCCGGATCACCTGTGATCAAAAATAGATATGACTATTATGAGTATTAATTTAAACTGGAGGCAAATTTATTGAACAAACGTAACTTCATCATTCAAATTTTTGTCACAAATACTATAATTATAACTATTAACTAAAATAACTATATTTAATATGTATATGTATGATTATGTATAAGAACATACTATTTTATACATATAAAAGTATATATATACACACGCACACATACATATATATATATATAATAAAATATACTTTTATATTTATAGAACAGTGAAAGAGCTATTACTGGAATCATTTTTATTCCAATTTTTATATTATAATAATTTCATGGCTATCAAAATATTGATCTTGACACCTTTGTAACCGCCAGAATGATGAAGCACAACTACTCTGATGAAAGGCCACCATTCGTGAAAATGTTTCACCCATTGCTCCATTAAAGTAGCAGGACATACGATTATAGTCGGGCCCAAACTCCTATATCTGTAAAATGTGTACGTAATATTAATATTTCGACTGATATATTCGTAATACACAAATATTTTTAACATTCTATAAGGTACTTCTATGTACCTTCCATTATGAGAAAGCAATTCGCTGCAGTCTATGCCTGCGAGGAAAGCGATAACTTGTACAGTTTTTCCTAAACCCATTTCATCGCCCAGCAAACCGCCCAACTTACGCCCATGCAATTCCCATAGCCACCGAACTGCAACCTTCTGATACCTGTAATATAAAGTTTAACATTTTTTTTAAATACAGTATATAAAATTAATCATTAGAGATGGATAAATTATTTAAATTCTCCGATTTGCATCATACCTGTACAACCTTTTCCAAATACTTTGGGGCACTTTAAACAAATTATCAAGTTTATGCATTGCCTCATCTTTGGGATAACTGCTCGTTGCCATTCTTTCCTTAAACACTCGATTGTCCCCGTCATCTCGAGCTGGATAAGTTAAAAAAAATCTTTTAATTAATGATAAAGTAACAAAGCTATGAAAGTAACAGAATTAAAAAGTTAGTAATAAGAAAATGCGAGTAAGGCTAAAATAAATTATAAATTATAAATCATCAATAAAAACTATAAACTATAACAATAATGTGTAATTATAAAGGACATCATTCCTTATCATAATATGCAGTATATTTACTTTTTCTTGTACGTTTGACTCCTGATTTTACTGAGACTTTCTTTCCTTTAGACAATATTTTGTCATCTGCATCTGTAAAAATATTTTATTCTTTTATTGATGGAAATATATTTTTTTAAGTGCATTGAACGTTGTATATCAATATCATATAATGTTACCTGATCCTACTTCATTGTCACTGGGAACATATTCACTTTCTGAACTGTTGTCCAAAATCTCATGTATCATATTTGAGGAATCTGTATCATTTACATTTTGCAAGCAATTATCTTTAGTATTTTTGACATATCTGGAGGATTTGTGAGATCTCTTATGTATTTTTGCCTCGGCACTAGGCAGCTTTGGTTTCTTGTTTGGTATCTCATTGTCCTTTTCCTTAGGGATGCTTTTCAATTTTCTTTTCTGTTCAGCAAGAGCAGCTTGCTGTTTAAAATATTTTTCAAGATCTAGCAGCTGAGCACCTGATTTTGAGCTAAAGATATAACATTACTTTCCTTTCAATCCAATAATTAAGTTACATAATAAAGATTGATACGTTTGTATAACGATGATAACATATTAAAATGCCATCGAATTAAATTTATTCTAAAATTTAAATTAACGGAACATTATGTTAGACAAAATATATCAATTATATTACCCTTCTTTCTCTAAAGCAGACTGATTGAATATTGCCTCGAAAGGTGTAATTTCACCAATTTCAACTTGCTTTTGCAATTCCGCTCTGTGATCCTTCTTGACATCAATTTCCCTACTTTCTCTAATCTCCGATCTTGCATCAGCTTCTTGTTTTCCTACCAAGGGCTGGTTGTTTGAGCTTACGGCACATTTAATGCGCTCAGATACCTCTCGCAGAACACTGTCCTCTGTTTTCACAGACACGATCTACACACAAGCATTGATATCTTCTTAATAAAAAAAAGAATATTTCACAACACACACGTGTGCTCGCACGACAATTACACCTGTCACTCAATTACCTCATGTAAGTCCCCAGGAAGTTCTCCGTCGGAAATATCTCCAGGAAGCTCTTCATCAGACATGCCTCCAGTCGCGTTATCATCAATGTTCGCAACACTCTCATTATTTACCGTCTCTGCCATAATGTGGAATCACATAACGTTGCGACCTATGCAAACATTTACTCGTGCCAAGGCCAACATAACCGCATTCTGGATATGTTTGTTGTGAGGAACCGCGCACTCACATCCGGTACCGGCTATTAGTTGCGCGTAACGATCGATTCATCGAAATATTGGATACGAGATGCGTTGCAAAACTCATCAAAAGAAGTGTCGCAACTTTTTCGTCGCTAACCACACTACATTGGATATCCAATGAGAGGATCCATTTACTGGGTATCGATCACATAACCTTTCTCCTGGAGCGGAAATGTGAAAAGTGTATTAAAATTAGAAAATTTATACTTTTCACAAATTCACGCCAGAGGAAGAAACTAATCCCCAAGGAGATTACGAATCTCTTCTTCTCTAGCGTGAACTCATGGAAATTTTCTAATTTCAAAACATTTCACATTCCCGTCCTAGAGGAAAAATCACGTGACGATACTCTAGAGACAAAATGTCGCTAACTAGAGAACTTTAGAGAACAAACTTTACTATTGGACATCGGACAGTCGCACATCGGATGTCGCGTGCAGTGCGAACTCTGGCATAACAGAGCGCATCCCTCGCAACGGGAAGACCAATCGCGCGGCCTGTGGATCGCGGGCGAATCGCGAAGTTCGAAACGTCGCCCTTAGGTCGTGCACTGAGTGAGAACGCGAGATCGACGCGGTGTCGAACCTTGGTGCTCCGAGTTCACGCAGCGCAACGCGTTGATTGTACCGCACGGACAATTGGGCGTACGTATCCACGTACGAGCGTCGACAGCCGCGAGACGCGTCGTCTCACCAAAGATCGCCGCCGCCGTCGGGTTCGTCGTTGTCATTGCGATAATGCCATCAGCGCGAGCGACGCGTCTGATCGAGGCACGCGCGAATGAACCGAGTCCCTGGTCGGAAACGAAGGAACAATTGCACGGCGCGTGCACGCACATAGACGCGCGCGTATTGTCGGCCGTGTGTACACATACACATACACGCATATATATATATACATGTCGCGTTACGATACGTCACGCCAGCGCAACTTCTAGCTATTCCGATTTTTTCTTTCCTCTCCTTCTCGCTCGACCTCTCGAATTTTGCGCGTTCTTTCGCACGGCAATCGCCATCATAAATAATCTCCGCAAATAATCGCGACGTGAGAGACATACTCACATCGTCGCGTCGAAATGCGACGATCCGACCGGAACGATCGAACCGTCGCGTCTCTTTATCTCTCCCCTTCCCCTTTTCCGTCCCCCTTCTCTCTCGCGCGCTCTCGCTTACACACACACACACACACACACGCTCTCATACGGAGGCGCATACACACACACACACACATTCCCTCACTCTCTCTCTCTCGCACGCTATCTGTTTCTCATTTGCAACAGCAGCGGACGATCGTGACGAATACTCCCGCATACATATGATGCTCTGTCTTAAGGCGCGATAATAATTGCCGCCTGGGTATGTACATTCGCAGGCTTTTCATATATTACATCCAAGACTCCGTGGTTAATCCGTGAATGATCAGGGAGTGTGTGTTGCAAAAAGGGACTCGGTGCTCTCGCGTCGATCACTGCTCCTTCGCGAATCCGCCGCCGCCGCCACCTCCCGCTGTTTCCGTTCGCGACGCTCGGCAGGCTACTGTCCCCCGGACAACGCGATGTTTTGCTCTGCGAGAGTAGAGGTATTCCATACTTTGTTGACAATGTTTGTCGGTTAACTCAGGAAAATCGAAGTACCTCGTTAGCTCGTCACTGAGCTAACTCTCACGATGATATTTGGGACTCGATGCCGACAAATGCTCATTAACGCAGCGTGATGCCGCGTTAGCGGTGCTCGTCAGTTTCTAAAAGAAAGGAAAAGCTCACGAGACAGCGAAAGTACGGTGTTGTATACCGACGAATAACGTACGTTCGTGGTAAACGATATCATATGGCTTTGTGTTTCTCAGTCAAAAATACCCGGGCATTATTCTCTCTCTCTCTCTCTCTCTCTCTCATAGTATGGAATACAATAATGGGAATAAAGACAGATGAAAAGGTGAAGATATGTATCTTAACCTTTTGATTTCCCATACATCTTGCAGCTGCACCATTGTTCTAACTTGTACTTGGCTCAATCATTTTGGCAGTTCAACACCATCAAGCACTGTCTGGGCTAAACTGATTGCTTGCGACGTGTCCGAGGCTGACGACTGTTGTCCTAGCGATTGAATCTTGGCTAAGTATTAGCGAGGAATAATTTCATGTTCTTGTTTTGCATGTCTAGTTTTAAGAAGCTGAGCCTCGTCTCTTGAACTGCACAAAAAGAAGCAAACGATCGGAAACCATGGAGTCGTCGGACAGAAAGAATGTTTATCTAAAAACCGGCGACAGCTCATTAAACTCAGGAATGAGAGACACCATGATCGTTGGCCAGGCCAACATGCAGCCAGGTATAGATATCATAAACTGATATCGCTGCATCGATTTTGTCGCGCATCATCAAGCTGTTTTATCTTATCATAACTTTTACAAGTTATCCTTCTTCATTTTGTGCCTCGTCTTCCTCTTTCTCATACAGTCTCTCCTTTCAGAGTGCGGAGAGGGCGTGATGAAACAGAACGTGTCCAGCGTCTCCTCCAATCAGGCGAAGTGGTCCAATACTCAGAGTAAGAATTTCATCATCGGCACGGTGCCTGTGAAGAACGAGGTGCGATTTTAGAGAACGGCATAACCACCTGAATCAACTTTCAACGATACTTATAACTAATAGTGACGCACTCTTTGTAGATCGTGCATCTGGAAGATGGTGCGCATTGTAACAACAAGAAAATGTACTACTACGATAGACACTACACTGGTCACGAGGAGCCAGAGAGACCGACGCGCAGAGGAACGAAGAGATACAGGGACAAGGACGCACCGAAACGGGCGCTGTACGTAGGCATCTAAGAGGGTTTCGAGACGTTCGATTAGTCTCCCGTGTAGTTGTCAGTCTCTCGAAGGAACCGTGCTTCCTGTGCGAACGTGGTCAGGGTTGCCTCGGTATGAAAAAACGCTACTAAGGAAATCGACGTTACTAAAAATGTGAGGTCTATTGGAAGCTGTGAAACTCTCTTAGGTCTCTGCGCGCGTAAACGTCGAAGATGGGAGTTTAGTTTGGGAATGCGCTCTTATATCAATCTGTTGCCGTAGGTCCGCATTCTTCTACTTCTGCCAAGAGCTGCGCGGTAAGATGAGGGAATTGCACCCTGAGATGGGAGTGGGCGAAATCGCGAAGGAACTAGGAAAATTGTGGATGAGCACGGACCTGCAGACCAAGTCCAAGTACATGGCAATCGCGGAGGAGGACAGAGCCCGATACGAGAGGGTGTGTTGCAATATTTATACGTTAATTACAATTGATCGTTTCTCTGAAGAGATACGATGTGAATTCGATGGACCATCATCGTATCATCAACGATTTTCAATGTGTAGGAAATAATCGCTTACAATAAGAGAGTGAAAAATTACGATCCTGAGGAAGTTGGAACTGTATAAGTCAATCCAGAGATTCACGTCGGATGGTTGGAAGGAAAAATAAGAAGAAGAAGAAGAAGAAAAGGAAGAGGAGGAAAGACTACTTATTCTCTCATTCGAGCACTTGTCACTGGTTATTTGCAAGTGCGCGATACTTTTACTAACCTAGTATTACTGTCACTCGTTGTATATATTATGTACACTGTTGAAAAGGAACAGAAAGAAATTCATTCGTTTAACGTGCAAAAATTCGATTCATACTCGTAGCGTGGCAAACAGGCGAGACAGATTTCGGCTAGACGAGAGTTCCATTTTATAACGAATTCCTCTATCATGCAAGGGCTATTACTACCATACATGACTAACGTGTGCTAATATATAAAAATATATATACATACTATATATACACACACACGCATACACAAAGGATGCTTTTTAGGATTTATCAATTTAACTGTGCCAGAACGCTTTGCGAGTAAAAATATAAAAAAGAATGTTATATAAAATAGAATGCTATTCTATTTTGTATTTCTGTTATAACTTTTTAATAAAGCACTTTTATAGTCACCTCTTAAATATTTCTAACCGTAGAATACGTTGGCACAGTTCATCTGATAAAACCTTCAGCATCCTTTATACATTTATCGACAAAATCTAATATGAGATATGTAATAAATCTTAGCGGTAGTAGAAGTTAATGGTAAATAATTCAAGTAACAATAGCTATACCACTGTGCTGCATTAATATTGAATAGCAACGTAATCATAATCGATTCTGGCAATGTCTGAGAGTAACGAGGACGAAGAAATTGCATACTGCAACGCAATATTACGCGTTATTATAGCGCGTTAATATTAATAGAATTAATGGTAGAACGCTTCGCTGACATGTAATAAGTTAACGAATAAGAGAGATTAATCAGAAGGAGAAGGAATAGGGAGACGCGAGGCGGATGCGATTTAGCACAGCCTCCTTTTCGCAAGACAATTCTACTGGGATTAATATACCTGTATAATTTCGTTGAGTTCATGTTTTTTGATACCATATGCACGTACTCTGATGATTCTTGTGCTTGTTTGTGCGAATTAATAAAATGCAATATTCATTATAAAATCCTGTTTCATGCAGTGTCCGAGAAACGCGATGAACTCACCGAAGTCCGTAATGCGACAAAACCACGTACAACGTAATATTATATAAATTTTTCATGACAAGAGCATTAGAGATCATTCTTGCTTCTCACAACAATATTCATCGTCGACATACGCGAGTTTTTGTGCAATTTAAGTAACAGCTAAACGACGTATAAAATTGAAAAGTTCGATCGTTTAACAAAGCCAATTAGTAATAATATAGTAACAGTAATACATACTCTACTTTGATAACGAGAAAAAACGAAAAAGAGAGCGTGCAGAAGAGAATGCATTATAGTAAAAGTCGCACAGAGTAAACGTTGTACAGAGCATTGCTTGTCTGTTAATCACATACACATTTGTATAAGATTATATACAAGTAGATAGTAATATGTTGCTTTTCTAGCATGCTCCGATTGGAGGATAATGTTTCAAGGAAAAAGCATCATTTATTAATTTAAAACATATGCAAAGATTTCTGGATGAATTTGCTTAAGTCATTGTGAAACACAAAATTTCATATTTTTGAAAATAATATTTCATTTTTAGTGGAATAAGTCTGATAACGTGTTGAAAATTATAAGAGACTGCTGCAGTGTTTCTTAAGATGTTAACACAAATGTTATGTTTATTTCATGTACCAGCAATCCAACCTAACTTAGCTATTAATTATATAATATTGTCTTAAATATTAATTACATAATATTGTCTTATATATTGTCTCACAAATCTCATCATAGAGAAACACCGCAATCCACCTTGGGATGGGTGTTCTCTACCTGCTAGAAGTTTGAAGTAAAACACGTCACAAAAATGTTGATGTATTTTGATCATAATGTCAGTTTTATCTTCTTGGTCCTAAAATGCGAAATGATAAATCCTCTACTCTCAAGTTTTGCGGATCTAAATTCAACTTTGGATGTGCAACCTTCAGTCTCTTTTTCACAATCATATTTACGTCGATCAATAGGTGCGATATATCGAAAGCTGCCATCTTGTTTCTCCGCATGACAGTAGTGGTTTGTTCCTTTTAACTGCACCGTTGAACGGGTGCAATAAGTTAGAATGAAAAGAAAAATTTGTTTCAGCAACGTAGCTAAAAAGAACAGACCATAGGAGACAAAACAGGTTAGCTGCTCTCGGAAATAGCTTATAGATTATAAAAAAGAAAGAGGTTAGTACAAAATGACGAGTGAAGCATAGCTTGGACGCTCACGGCCATATATTGGAATTAGCAAAAAAGTCAATTGACAAGCTATAACGATAATTCATCCACAGGCAGAAACGATATGGCGTTGAATCACGTGATTTAGCTAGCCAATCAGACGGTTTCCCTCAATGTCGCTTCTCTATTATCTAGAACTCTACGATGTTGTTTGAACATATATTTGCGCGCTCAGCTGTTTGACCTCAGCTGCCACCAGAATGTCGCACAGTTCATATATTGAATTTTCCTAAGAGGTATGCAGAATGATAATTACGAATAATCTTTCTTTGGTCGGTTATATAATGTCGAAAAGTATATGGCAACATTATTTGTATGATGTAAATTCGTACTTGGTTAAGAGTGGAACTAAATCTGCGTATTTGATAGAATAGGTAAAAAAAATAGTAAGCATTTTCATGTTAAAATATACACATATGTACACGTGCATACATACGTATATATATACATTTTTTTTCGTTTTGGAATTATACATATATATATACATTTGTATTCCATATATATATGTGCACATATATCTCAAATATCTGTATAATGTATATGTAGTAATTATGACATCTGATATATTATATACATATATACTTCTATACATAGTATTTCTCTTATAAAATACATGTGTATTAACAAGTAAAAACAGACATGTTATCATATGACTTATTCTATAAGTTACTGCGTGGTCGATCGATAGATTATTAGAATAGAGCAGCCACGTTGACGCCAGGCTACGTCGTGTCACTACTGCTCAAACCATTCTTCTGATCGAGCTTGTTCGCATTGGTCTTGACCGTATATATGAAAAAGGTCAGGGCTTCCTTCTCCACCACTGGGATAGTTTTGAAATGCTTCATGAGAGTCTGCGACACAAATTTGGTGGAGGTTAACATTTAGAATTACATTTCCATAGAACTTTTTTACAGAAAATATTTAGTAAAGAAAGAGGGTACTTATATATATTACCAATTATTTATATATATAAAATTATATATATAGTATAATTTTATATAATTTGTCAGTTTGAAACGTTTGTAGTCATATTCCTACCAGAAATAATTGTTTATGAAGATAAAACAGTATACTTACATCTGCCAACTGAGCTTTATTGAGCCCTGGGCGTGTGGAAACCTTATAATGCCTTTTATATCGCCTCAGAGTGCCGACTTGCAGTTGAAAGAGATCGACTTCCGGAAGATCATTATCAGTTTCACCCGAATCCTCCTCGGAATCCTTGCGTCTCCGCTGCTGCTGCTGTTTAGTCCTTGCACACTGGATCACTTGTTTATGGTAGTCGCAAATGTATGTGTGACGTGCCTAAATATAACATAAATGTAACATTTTTATGTATAAGTACGCATGCACAATTCCTCTAAACATGTGCTTTGTAGCAACTTAAATGTCAGGTAGATATTTTTTGTTTCCAATCACAAGCTTCAAATTCAATTAGCAATTTTGTGAACATTTGAAAATGGAGAAATCTGCTGTTTCATGGTAAATTTTCTTCTTTAGTCACTAAAACTGAGTAATCAATCGATGCAACATAAGTTGTATTATCGTTTTATCGAGAAAATTGTTCTACACCGTTTTTTCGTCCACGCCTCAACAGCAGAGAAAAATCTCTGTCGTTTTACATACTTGCCTGTCTTACCAATTTCAACAATGTGCCAATTGTAATCGAAATTTCACGTCGCTCCTGCTGCCAAGAGCGGCATCTTTGCGCCTCCAAAAAAAAATGCGTGGAAGAAATTTCCCACGTGTGAAATAAATCTTTCGGAATATATCCTCAAATCCCCATGTGCTTCTGTCGTTTACTAATGTGATGCCCGTGCTCGAAAATGAGTGGGCTGTAATATTTATCACATATATCGTATGACGCATATGTGTAACGTGCGTAATGACTACAAACCATGTGATCAAGATTGAGCTTGAGTCGCCGTTGTGTGACGGTCTTCTGGATACGTTTGCTGTAAGACGCGTTGCCAGCCGGGCGAAAGCATTGCTCGCCCTCGTCGACGAGGCAACAGATCTGATCGGCCGCTCCTCGAGAATCTTCCTCGCCGGTGCTGAATCCGTTCATTCTATCACGTTGATGCTGACGCTGTTGCCGACTACCCAAGTTGCGCGTTCCGTTGTAGGTACCGAAGACGCGTATCAAAAGTCGATCGGCCGGTCAAGTTACGACACTGACAACAAGCTTGACGTCGCTCGCCTTCGCGCATAATTCCGTCCCGCGCTCTCACCCGATGCAGTCATTCGCGCGGCAGGAGGTGCGCCCGTCTCGCCCGCCCGCCCGCTTACCGGCCGATGTGCGCTTCTTCGTAGGGATGCTCGGAGAACTGACACTTAGCGGGACGCCACGGGGCGCATCGCGAAGCCGGAATTAGAATCCGCAACCAGTCTCGGCAACTTCGCGCCTCGCTCAGCCGACGAGCGTCGAAAGCGCGCAGCGCGTTAGAACGCAGCGAGTTCGCGCTCGTTGATTATCGTCTCTTGAGCTACGCCGAATTTTCACCATATACCGGTGCTCGACACGCGGTAACAGCCGTCCGCGCGATATCACACAGCGGGAAAGAAATTCAACGACAGAGCGAAACGCACACCCGCCAGCCTGTGTTGTACTGCGCGTTCATCCACTGTTTCAACCTCCCCCGTCGCCCCCCGGTTCATCAAGCCGGCTACGTCGCGAACACGAGTAGACGCGCCATCGCCGCGGTGCCGACCGTCCGTCGCTCCTTGCCGCGCGCGAGCCGAGACAGGTGTGCCAGTCGATCTGGTGATTTCCCGGCGGCGCGCAGATGCCGGGGCTCGCTCGGCGCGCGCGCTGGTGTTCTCTGCGCGCGCAGTTGGCGGCGCTGCTCAGCCCTCCGCCGCGACGTTCCCGGTCCGATGGCTCCATCTACTATAGAAACGGTGCCTAACCTCAACGTTTTCGCGTACTCGGCCGTAAGGACGAGTCGGCACGCGAAACGATACGCGATATCCGGGTCCGCTCATGAGACGTGCAGATCTTGACCGGGGCCGTCGCGAAAACCGCGATCGCGGCCGCATTCGTCGCCGCGCGAGCCGCTTCGCACACACGCATTTTCCCGCCCTTTCGGCCGGCCGACATTTTATCTGGTGGGGGCGAAAAAGAAACGCACCAAAACATAAAAGGTCGGCGCTGATTGGCTTACTTTTTGCGGCTTATCTGAAATAGGCCAATGGTAATGGAGATTTTCCCCGTACGTTGTCCGTATGCCGCACGAGTAGCGTGGGGTCGCGATATTCGAAGCCGAGAGAATCCTTTTAGCCGTTGTGGATCCCGAATATTCAGGTAAGAAAAATCGAGAATATTTTCGTTATTGCGCGTTGACAGATCCGACGAACGTGTCGCGTACTCACCAGCCGTTCGTCCGCGCCGCGCGACCCGCCCTACGCGAGCTCGTCCGCTGGCCGTGGCCTGCTACCGTGCTGCGTTCGCGTACGTATACCTTTTATTTCCGTAGAACCGTCACACGGCAGCAAATGGCTGCCCGGGTGGACGTGCCGTGTCGCGTCGTGTCGTGCCGCGCGCCTACGCGTCTCTCGGTTGCGTCGCGCGTCGTTATTTCGCGCGACGAACAAGCGAACGACGTGTACGGCGAGAGAGCATCGTGTCGCCGCGACGCGGATACGCCGGAATCGCGGCGAGGGCCGCGACAAGGCGGCCGTCGCCGCTCGCTCAACGACGTCAAGGTTGGTGCGCGCGTCCACGTCCCACCCGCGTCGCTCCTCCTCGTGGCTCGTGGCGCCTCGACGACGACCGGGGCCGACGCTCGTCCAGGAGGTCGACCCTACACGTCGACATCGTCGTCGACGCCGTCGAGCGCGCGAGAAATCGTCTCTCTCTCTCTCTTTCTCTCTTGGTCGTCGTGCGCGTCACCACCATGCCAATGGCGCGATATATCGGGACGCCCTCGCGAGTGCTTTTCCCGCCTCCGTAGCTCGGATTCTCTCAAAAGCTGTCAAGAGTGAGCGAGGTAGCAAGCCAGCCAGCTAACTCCTCAAGATGTCGAGCGGGCTCGATACTTGTTTCTCTCTCTTTCTCTCGTCTCCCCCTTCCGCTAGGCTTATTTTTCTCGGTGATCATGCACACGCTCGTTATTACCCAGCGAAACGAATCGCGAGTGTTGGCGAGGAGTTGGCGGGAGCAGGGCAGAGGGCCGAGAGATAGACGGAAATCGAGATACCGAGATAGAGAGAAACCGAGATAGTGTGAGTGAGTGAGTGAACGAGCGAGCGAGCGAGCGAGAGAGAGAGAGAGAGAGAGAGAGGTGTTTACACGTAGATGTCCCTCCTTCTTCACCGATCGTGCATCTCGCACTCTCGGCGAGGCGTGAGCGCGCTCGCGGCGGAGGCGCCAAAAGCACTCGCGTCGTTTGGCTCGCTTGACGTTTTTATTCGCCAGTCCGTCGTCTGACGGCCTCCCGCGCGTCCGGAATATAACGTATTCGTGCGTAATGCGAAAACGCGCGCGCGAAATCGATGGACCGTCCTGGGGCGGGCGCGCGTGCGACGTTTGCGCGTCGAGAAATTGAATTTCCGCCCGCGATCTCGTGTAATTTCGTAACGAAGATCGTCTCGCCCGACGTGGCGATGAACACGCAAAAATCGTCGTCGCTGCGCTGCGTTCTTCCACAGCGTGCAGCAGAAGGGAGGGACGCGCGCGCGGGAAGGCAGCTCGGTCTCTCGCGTATATTTCGTTTTCCATAACTATTTGCCGATTTATATTTTTTTCTGCAACTTTTGGAAGTTTGTGTCGAAAATGATCCTCGCCGGTCGCGAGGCCGCGCGTAACGTTTATCGTCCTCTCGTCGCCGATAAAAAAAATTTTTGTTAAATCTCGAGACTGGCGTTTTCCGCGCGCCACCCCGTAGATTCCGCTGAAATTATAATAGCTTCGATACCCGACGATATATTTGCAGCCGCTGTTATGAGAATGGTCACGTATTGTGTTCCGAGGTAATTGAATCGCTCGTTTTCACACGAGATAGAGCTTTGTCCTAAAAATGTTGGAAATGGATTTCCAATGTACGTGGTATTTTTTACGCGCGCGCGCGCGCGCACACACACACACACACACACACACACACACACACACACATTATGAGCGGAAAAGCCTTCGTTGGTATCGAAGCTTGAGTGACGACACGAAATCGCAATAGAACAATTTCGCCTTGACTCTGCCGACTGGCTTCTTTTTTAAAGTACTTCGCTACGCCGATTTTATCTGCCTGTAACAAAGTCTCGATCAACATCTCGCTTACTGCGACAAGAAGCGAGATTAAACAGGATATTTTTGCATCGACGACTTGGTGTTCATTTGCATTCTCAATTACCTCCGTTATTTACGACTATCTCCGTCTATTCACGAGAAGGCCTTCTCTCTGCGTAGTCACTGAAACGCCGTGCGTATCTCTCATTCGGTTTCCGACTGAAATCTCTCTCTCTCTTTCTCTCGTTCGATCGGGACACCCTGTAGAAATGAGCGCGTTGTGCTTCGCGGTGTTTCAAGCCTAGCGAGCGTTAACGAAGCTTAAACTCGACTGTATATTCATCGGCTAAGCTATAGCAGCTATAGTCTACGTAAAATAAAACACACAGCCGCAAACATTTCTTTTTTTATTCGATGCGCAACATCTCCTCTCGATCGATTATCCGCAAAAGCACTCGGACGGAACAAATCGTCCTCCCCCTTCACGGCCCCTCCGCTCTACCCCCCCCCNNNNCCCCCCGTTCGTTTCGGATAATCGGCTTTCCGCCGCATGTACGTGCTAAGAATTACGAGCCGGAGCTACGAGTTATCTAAGAGTTACATCATTCTCGCGAGTAAACGCGCCCGCGCGCTCTGTTGCTCTTTTCGGCAAAGTTCGGCCGAAATCTTCGATTTAAATATGGACTCTTCAAGCCGAGAGCACACCATTCTCCGGTCTATCTGTCGTGTACGATAGTTTACCGCGCGCAAAAGGCGACCGCGATAAATGCCGCTGCGAGGCCTAACGCGACGAAGAAGAGGGAAACGGACGGTACAGCTCGCGGAGAGATTGGGAGCAAATGAGATGCAGGCGGAATGAGAGAAAGTAAAGCGAACGCGAGAAATAGCAACGCGTTAATTAAATGAGAAGGAACGATGACGAGAAGCGCGCGCGCGCGCGAGAGAGAGGAAGCGACTCGAGCGAGACGCGGATCGAAGAGAAGAGCTTCGTTTCCGAAACGATTTCTCTCCGCACGTGTGGCGGCATTTTTTCTTTCAACTGGCCATCACACGAGAATGTGTAACGCCGGGTGAGCGCGCGCGCGCGCGACAATTGTACCGCCACATGGCACGGCGATTCGAGGCCCTCGACAGGCAGATGGCACGATTCGAAGGGTTCCCGCCATTGTTTCTGTCCCGCTGACTGCTCGCGAGCACGTATTGTAATAGATAAAGTATTACGATACACACACGTTTCGAGAAAACGACGCGTGTGCGCTGGCATACCGGCATACTCGCAACGTCGAAACGTGGGAATCGAACGCGAGCCGGCCTCCCCTCCCCTACCCGCCTTACCTCGCTAACTAACGACTCGATATTGACTCTTTGGAATTCTAACGGTAAAATTCGAAAAAGCGGGCCTCTTCCTTTCGCGTTTATATCACGAACCGTATGGCGCGGGATCGAGAGGTGAAAGCCGGCCTCGCGAGAGAGGAGGAGGCGTCTGAAGCGCACGACTCGAAAAGTGGAGATTTTTACTGCGCGAGGGCAGCGCGGGCACCCGTTAGATGGCTTCCGGTCGAACTCGATCCGCCGAATCGAACGGACGCGCTTATTTTTCGGCTTTTCGTCGTAACGCCGGCCACGTTTTTTTCGGGCCGCGTACAGGTATATTCTCGAGCGGAATCGCCGGCGGGATCCGGTTCGGCTAACGTCGCCGGGCCGTACCAACATGATCGGGTATAGGCTCGAATTCCGTCCTCGCGCGCGCGCGAATCCGGCGTCTCCTACTCTTTCTCTCCTCATCTCTGCCTCGTCTTCGGCGCGTTTGACGTTTTGTTCCTCGGACGGCGGAGCGCGCGCCGTGTTCGTCCTCTCTTCTTCCGGTTTTCTTTCGCTTCTCCGTTCCGTTGGGCTTTTCTCGGCCCCTCGAGTCGTTCGCCACTTTCGTACGTTCGTTAGGTTGCCAATGCTGGGCCCTGGGAATGCGCGGTGGCTTTGTCTCTCTTCGTCTTTCTCTCGCTCCCGCCCTTCTCTTTCTCTCTCTCTTCCCTCTCGCCCGTATAAACCCCCCTCTGCCGTTGCCCTCTCCTCACCCCGCCGCCCCTCTCGCCAATGCCGCTGCCTCTATCTACCTCTGTCTCCCTCGCTTTCCCCCGTCTCTCTCGCTCGCGCGTCTTATTGACCCGGACCCGGTTCTCTTCTCCTCTCTCTTCGATTCGCGCGCCGGGTTATACCACCGACTCACACCCGCCGCCTCACGACGGCAAGGGTTGCCCGAGGGGGCGGAAGCAAGGGGGGCGCGGGATATAGAAGTGAACGGGGAGCGCCGAGGGGACGGGGGAGGACAGGTCCGACGCACAGGTCCCGCGATATACATTTTCATTTCATCTTCCTGGCGTGCTATCAGAGATAGAAACAGAGGAAGAGAGGGAGCGAGAAAGAGCGAAAGAAAAAAAAAAGGAGTATCGCGTTCCCAGGGAGGGGTCAGGAAAAATTTTCGGCCATTCCCCCCGAGGAGCGCCTCCAGATCGCCGCTCATCTCCGTCCGGTTGCGCGAACGGGCGAATCGCGCGAGTCGGAATTCGCGACATTCGCGACTTCACGCGAGAGAAGGAGCACGACGAAGACGCGTCGTGTATGTGCGCGCGCGCGCGCGCGTCGCATTCTTGCGGCTATCATCGCGCGACTGTGTTGCATCGGTTAGGAGATAACAAGGGGTATAAGAGGGAAGGAACGAATGAATGATATACTTCGACGAACAGCGAGTTGAACAATTGCGGTTCTAAGTTATAACGCGTACGCCCGCCGGGGGAGAGGAACGCTTCGTTCTCCGTCGACTAATAATAAATTCGACGTTGTAGCAAGTTTACGAAAAACACGTCTCTTTCAACATGGCGCACGCGGCACCTTGCGTGTACGCAAGGCGCCGGAGAATCCGGTCCTTTCTGATTGCGCGAGAGCCTCGCAAGAGTTCGATCCTCCGGCATACATTCCTCGACGAAAAATTTCGCCGTGTTCCCGAAAGTGTCTCTTCCGTATCGACCGACGAGGAGGAGCGGCCTGTCGCCGGTCGGTAAAGACAGACGAACGGCGCGTCTTCTTCACGCGTACGTACGTATAAGCGGGAAAAAGGGCGCGTGCGGCAGGCGAAAAGCAGGAAGCGTCTCTCCCCGATGTGGGGCAAATTCCAGCGAGCTAGCGAGCTAGCGAGTGCGTACCGGTGTAACGAAACTAAGAAGGGTAAAAAAAGAGGAGAGAAAGAGAGGAGTCAACGGAAGAAAGAGCGCGCGATGACGACGACGAGGAGTCAGCCAGTCGGCCGCTGTAGATGCGTCCTTCTCTCTCTCTCTTTCTTTCTCTTTCCGCGTGCCTCTCTTTCTCTGCCTAAAAGTTGACCTCGAGTTTCAAGGGTAGAGAAGGGTTCGCAGTCGTTCGTTCGTTCGTCCTCCCTCCGCTCTTTCTCCCCTGCTCTCTCACGCCTTCTCTTTTTCTCTCTCTCTCTCTCTCTCCCTCTCCCTCTACCTTACCAGAGGGACTACGAAGAGCCGCGCGCGCGGCTCTCGAATTCTCTACGAACATAGAGAGAACGGAAGAGAGAGAGAGAGAGAGAGAGAGAAAGCAACGTTGCCTGTGGTTCGACGTCGGTGGACTCCCGCCATCCCTACCGGCGGCACGGCGCGATTCGATTGGCCGACGCGCTTAGGTTCTCCTTTGTGAGCGGGCGGGTGAAAGCGTGCTTGGCAACGTCGCCGAGAGTTTGCCGGCGTCCGTCCGCTGGAAGGAAGGTTGAACTGCTGAACAAGTGTGAGAGAGCGAGTAAGATAGAGAGGGGAAAGAAGGACGGAGAGAGACGAAGCGAAACGGCGAACGAGACACCCGGTAGAGAAGGAGAGTGGAAGAGGGGCGGACGGGCGGCGAGGGGAACCGCGAGAAAGAGAGAGAGATATAGATCGTACAAGCGCGTCCAGGCGGCTCGTTCTCGCCAGGTTCGCCCTCTGTGTGTGCGCGACGTCGCGTGTTAGAGTCCGCGGTGGCGAGAGAGAAGCGAGTCCCGTGCGCGCGTACGTTTCTCTCCGTGTGAAAAAGCTATTACGCGTCGTCCCACTACTACCACCAATAATACTACTACTACTACTACTGTTACTACCACCATTACGACCCGCTGCTGTTGCTGATACTACCACTGGTACTACTATTGGTACCATCGTCATCGTCAGCGGCGTGCTCGTCGGATACCGGCTTCGTCGCGTCAAGCCAAAGCGTGCGGAACTGAATCGAGCGAGCCGTGTATAACGCGCGCGCGACCAAAAGAGCTGCGAGCAGCGAACGCCCGCGTGGTGCGTCGTCTCTCAAGCGCCGCGTTGCTTGGAGAAGAACGACGAGTCCGGCGCGAAAGGAAAGAAATCAAAGTAGAAGTAGAGACTGGAGAGTACAGGGAACACGTTATCGCCTGGCGGTTGTTGTTGTTGTTGTTGTTTCTCCGACACTTATCGCGTACCAAGGACACAGCGTTTAAGTGCGCCTTCGTTCGCATCCTTCGTCGACGCCGTAGCTGTTGGAAGGAAGGAACCATCGTGTGTCGTTGGCAGCCGAACGAGCGAATCTCGGAAGGGTAGAGTGAGACAGAGGAAAAAAGAGAAACCGAGAGGGATAGAGATTTCGAAAAAGAAGGCGAGAGAGAAAGACGACGACGAGGGGAGACGCGAAGCGGCGTGAGCGGCGTTCGACGTCGTTGCTCCACGTCGATGGTGGGGAGACAGAGGGAAAAAGAAAGAGCTAGAGGGGGAGAGAGAGCGCCCTCCTCTACTACCCACNCGCCGCCTCCTCTGCCCGCCGCCGTACCTACTCACGGAGCTAACGAACGGTCGAGCGTAGCGTCGAGTAGACCGCATCCCAAGTATAACGTACGTATATTATTCCACGCGAGAATAACGCGCGCGCGAACGCGTTTAGATTCACCTAGACGGTGTTATCCGGCGCGCTTATCGCGCGACGCAGAAGGAAGAGAGAGAGAGGGAGAGAGAGAGTGAGTGAGTAAGGAACGAGAACGAAGGAGGAACGTACGGACAAGAAGCCGAGAGAGCGAATAGAGTCAGTGAACGGTGTTTGTAGTGGTGTACCACCATCGGAGCCGGCCGAAAACGCGGCCTGGACGCGCGCGACGTGTGCCGCCGCCGCGGTGTGTGACAGTGCGAACGCGTGCGTACGGTGCGTGCATGCGGTGCGTGCGTACGTACGTACATACGTACGGGTGCGTGCCTCTCCTATCTCACCTAAGCGTCGGTACCAGCGAGTTCCTCCCCGAGACGGTCTTTGCGTGTGTACGTGCGTACATGCGTGAGTGAGTACGTGCGTGCGTGTGCCGGGTGTACATTTTCTTCTCCCTCGTACAAGAGCGACAGAGATAGAGTCGTCGTCGTCGTTGGTTGGTCGGTGTGTGCGCTGTGCGTGCGCGCGGGATGTTACCGAGTCGGTGAGCGCGCGCGGGTACGTGTGAGTACCTCGGAGAGAAAGAGACAGCCCGTGAGAGGGAGAAAGAGACGAGAGACGGCAAGAAAGTCAGAGAGGGAGAGAGAAAGGGGGAAAGAGAAAGAGAGAGAACGTTAGCGCGTGCATGTGTGCGCGCGCGCGCGACCGAGCAATTCCTCCGTGCATCCTTCTCCTTTCCCTCGCTGGTATTACCGGCGAGTAAAAAAAGACAAGAAGCTGAGGTGACAAACAGACGTACTCGCGTGTACGACATGTCGGAGCATCACCGCGTAGCAGCCGGTGGCTGGGGCACGGCGAGCCCGGCGAACCGAGAGGATGCCAGCGGCGGTGCCGCCTGGTGGCCCTCCAGTCTCAACACCGTCCCGACCGATCAACAACAGCAACAACAGCAGCAGCAACAACAAAATCTACATCAACACCTGATGAACCAACAGCAGCAGCAGCAGCAACTCGCCCAGCAGCAACAGCAGCCGCAGCACCATCCGGACATCGTCCGAAGTACCGCCGCCGCCGCCGCCAGCCAGCAGCTCTTCTCCTACAAAATGGCCTCCAGCTTCCAGAACCCGGCCACCACCGGCACGCAGTCGTCGAGTCCGGTGTCGACGTCCACGCCGGTGTCCGCGCAATGCATGAGGGGCAGTTACGATTACAGGCTCGGCACCGGTCCTGGACAAGGCGGCGGCGGTGGCGGCGGTGGCGGCGGCGGCGGTGGTGGAGGCGGCGGTGGAGGCGGCGGTGGCGGCGGTGGCGGTGCTGCCGGCGGTGGCGTGCCTGCCGGCACACCTTCCGCACCGCCGCCCGGCGTGCAGTGGTGGTATTCAGGTGGAGTTATGGACGCCGCCGGACAGAACAACCTGCACCAGCAGTTGCAGGGTCAGCAACAGCAGCAACAACAGCAGCAGCAGCAGCAACACCTCTCACCTATTACCACGCAAACGTCCACGCCCCCCGTAATGTCCCCGGTATGTTGCGAAGAGTATTACCATCATCCCCCCGTTGAGGGAAGAAGAGCGGTTTCTCTCCTTTCTTGAGCGGCTTCTTTTCTGTTCACTCTCGCGAGGTCCGCGTACTTCCCCCTTCTTTTGCACTTGCCGAAGCATTGCATGGCCTCTGTACCACTACTCCGGTGTTCGCGCGTAATAAAACACGCGACGTAGCGTACGTTTAAGGGTAGGAGAGAAGAGAAAGAGGAGAAAAAACCATTTTATAGAAATACCAGAAAGAGCGGTGAAGAGGACAAAATCCCGAAACGACGCCAGCCGGCACTTAACCGACCCGGTCTCGAGCGTGAAATCAAGGAGCAACCGAGTTCGATCAGTGAGAGAAAGAGAGAGAGAGAAAAGTTCATTAACTTCGCACGAAACTATATACTGTATTTCTCGCGAACATCGATAACGGCTGATTCGCGCTCGGTCAGAGAGAGAGGGGGGGGGACGTCGGTTCTCTCTCTCCATACTTTTCTCCAACCTTGAGTCGGCCGGCAGCACAGTCGCGAGAGCCGAGAGAAATGGAAATTATATAGCCGGATTTTCATATTCATTCGCGGACGAATTTACGTCGCGATCGGCACGTCTCTCTCTTTCTCTCTCTCTCTCTCGCTCGCTCGCTCGCTCGATCTATCCAGACACGCGATACCGTCCCTTCGATCGGAGCGGCCGTGTCCGGTAACGGGATGGCGTTTATACCCGACGCCTTTGTATCATATAGTAGATATACGTAGGCCGAAACGCGGCGACCTCGCTCCGCACCCTGCCCCCTCCTTGGCGGCCTTTCGGCCGCTTTCGCGCGCACGGAGAGTGAGCAAGCGAGCGAGCGAAGAAGAAGAGAAATATACCTCGTCCGACCAGGTGGCCACGCGGCACATTTGACAACTTTTCCACCGACGCAACGGGGCGCGCGTGAAAGGGACTGTTCCTTTTAGTTGCACTTCCTGCGCTTAAGCCCTCCGGTACAGCTGGCCTTCCCACTTGGCGTGAATCGAAGGACAAATAACCTGACCGGCAATTAGGGAGCGATGCGTGAGCTACCGAAAGTTTCCTCGGTTCAAAATATATAATTCCTCGCTGCGGGAGACGATTTTATTTTTTTCCTCGAAGATCCAACGCGAAACAGAATTAAGAGATGTAGCGACATTTGTATATCGGACAGTGTGGGAATTCATGAGTAAAGAAAAAAGCGAAGAGAGTGTATAGGCTCGCAGAGAGAAAGATGAAAGGTCGCGGGTGTAGGGAGAGAGGGTATAGATGAAAAGAACAGCGGACCTCATGGTCTCTCTATCTTAGCTGATATCGGCGGCTGCTTATGTTCGTCTGTTTCTTCTATCTCCGTGTCGCACTTTTCCGTTCCGTCGCTTCGCCGATTTCCTCGTGGTCGCCGAAAATCGCGATTCTTCGTCGATGTACGGCGACCTTGACCAGACTCATACCTCTACGATCATTCAAGTACAATTTGACACAAATTTATTCTTATAATCGATATGATTGATTATAATTAATGTATTATCAATAGTGTAAGTAATTAATAGATTATTTTCGTAATTTTGAGCAAATTTTAGGAGAACTTTCCGAATTTCTAAAAATCCTGGCTTTTAGAAAGATGTTCTATGCAATAACCAACTAACGTGTTCTACGAATTCGTACAATAAATGAAATATCGATATGTCTATAATAATGTTAACATTAATATCACCAACGTGCCATTTTCGGCGTATGTTACTTTAAATTTCAATCGTTCCTTTTGAACTGGCCAGAATTTTGATCCGGGGGTGATCTGAATATTTCCAATTCTTTATATATATATATATAATTAATAATATTAACTTAACAGTATATATATACGTATATACGTAACAGTATATATATATACGTATGTACTGTTAATATAGTTCGTAATGTATCGATATGTATACATGTAAAATTTTGCATGTACAGAATACCGTTGCGGTCCTGCCGCAGTTGGTTTTCGCGCGTTTCATCGTGGTCGCCCGCCTTCCTGACTCGCTCGCTCGCGCGCGCGGCTCTCGCCCCGCGTCCGTCCGTCCGTCTGTACGTACGCCGCCGTCCGCTATTGATTCCGGGTTTCGTGCGGCCTTCTTCGTAAGTGCGTTCGCGTTCGGCGAGTCCAGCCGCGCCGTCGGTTGGTTCGTTCGTTGCTTCGTTGGTACCTTCTCGTCCCTTTTCGCTTCTGGATTCGCGATTTTCGCCGGCGCAAAGTGTCAAAAATTTTCGTAGCCCCGAATGGGCACGGAAGGCGAGAGACCACGAAGATACACACTCTCTCTCTTCCCCCCCCCCCCC